GTGTCCAGTGTGAAAGAGCCAGAGAGAGCCTCCACTTTACCCCCCGAGTCTTTGAAGAGCCAGGCCGTCCTGCAGGAGGGGCTGTTGGGGAGGAAGCATGATGTGGAGGGGTCGGGCAAGAAGGCATCCAACAGGTCAGTAACTATTTTTCTTTCATATATAACTTTTTTTTTATTTTGTAAAAAATAAAAAATATTACCTACAATGTTTCACAGTATAGCATTAAGCTTGTGTATTTCCATGGAAACAAGCAGGTAATGTAAGAAATAGGAGAAGTCACAGTCAGGTCTGTGGAGAGGCTAGTTCACTCATACTAAGAATGCATGCTTTAAAGGTATTAGTCTAGCAATAAAAAATACCTCTAATTAAATAAACTCAAGGTTGATTAGTTTAAGGCAATAACATCACCATGGAGACAAGCAGATGGTGGACCCTCCAAACAGAAAAATTACATAGTGCACCTTTTAACATCAGCATTACCCATATTTTAACCTCTCTACCACTTCACAAAATAGAACTGTTTTCATCTTATTTTTCAAGATGTGGTTTAATACATTACATTACGTTAAATAATTCTTCTTGATTATAAAGAGCACAGTGTTCCCATTATTAATCTCTAAATTGAATGCAAATTAACAACAAAACTTTAATTAAACACTAAAATATGAAATAATGCCGTTATTCAGTAGAGGTTTGAGGATTTTCAGTTTGTACGTTTATAAGTGATGCCAATTGAGTACCTTTTGTTTCACCACTCAACAGTTTACAAATGATATGTTTTCCTGGCAGTAATAATAATAATCTGAGGAACACTGGGTATTGAAAATTAGCCAGATGAAACCTTAATGAGGCTGTTGTTTTCAGTGTGATGAATTATGTTGATTACTTTGTTTTATTGGAAAGAAATCTGAGCAGAAAGCTGCTAATTGCTCATATTAAATTGTCACTTGCTTCTTCAGGTCTTGGAACAACCTGTACTGCGTGTTGAGGCCGGGGCAGTTGAGTGTGTATAAAGACGCCAAGAGCTACGGGCAGGGGGTCACATATCACGGAGAGGAGCCCCTATCGCTCACCGGCGCCATCTGGGAAATCCTGACTAACTACAAGAAAAAGAAGCATGTAGCCAAACTCCGGTAAGAGTCCAGTCTTAGGCCTGCCAAATGCTCAGCTGCTGGTGCTGTAATGAGACAAGGACATGGATTAAGAATCTGCAGTCAAAAAGATGCTTTATCCAAGAGTCTCTGAGCTGTTTGTGAGACTTATGTGTGTCCTTGTGCCCCACAGCCTGACAGACGGAAGTGAATATCTGTTCCAGTGCAAAGATGAGGTAAGTCTGTTATTCAGGACATTATCATATCATAGGGCATATCAAACTGAGCTGTACTTTAAGATGAATTGTCCCAGCTTCTATTCTCTGCACTCTGAGACCACATAATGCTGTGACGCTGGCCCATAATGTACATTTGTATGTGTGTAACCTTGGTTTAGTCACAGCCTTGTCCTATTTTAAATGTCATCTCTAAATGAATATTCTTGTAAATTTGGCTGTGTCCCCAGCAGACAGCAGTGTCCTTGGACTGTCCCCATATAATGTGTGTGTGTTTTAGGAGGAGCTGCAGCGCTGGAGCCAGGCCATGGAGAGGGCCCTGGAGAGGGCCCTGGAGGCCCCCTCAGAGGAGGGACCCTCGGGAGCCAAGAGCCAGACCCTGCCCCCTGTCTCCACCTCCACCCCGGAGCCCAGCTCTGCCAAGAAGGACAAGGAGAAGATGTTTAGCCGCTTCGCCAAGAAGAAGTGAGGAGGGAGGAGCCATCAGGGGGTTACCCAGGCAACCCCCAAACCAGGAAGTACTTTTGTGTACAAGCCATCAGAGAAAGTTTTTCATGAGATTTGTTTTTATTTTTCAATATAATTATTGTAGTTTAGGTTCATGCCACTATTTGCTTGTATTTAAGCAGCATTTCATTGTAAAGGTCCACGTTTTTGTTCTTTTGCAAATTCAAATGATTAAAGCACAGGAACGCTCTTTTCACTCAACCAAAGATTGTCCTATAGTTACTTTTGCTGCAGTTTTTGCTTCAGTTTGGGATGTTAGGCCATAGACGAGTACTACAGTGAGGTGTGCACATGGGCTGACCTGAGTACTCACAGTACATGTATAATCTGCCTTATAAATGGTTGTGAACTGTAATACTGTGCTGGAGAGTAGAGCCCAATTGAAGCTTTGTAAATGCGAGGAGAGGAGTGCTGTACAGTGTTACTACAGGGAAGCATCAATATAATCTATGCACTGTCAGACTGGGATCACTAATAATGAGGGGGTCTGATTTGACTAAAGTGTTTTTATTCACTTGAAATATACTCCACACTCATGTATTGAACTCTAAATTTCATATTTATTCTTCATGTATGCAGTATATCTACCGACGCATGTGTACAATGTATGTTTTACATTTGGTTTGACATGGTGCTACTCAGACATTCAGACATTTTCAAATCAATGATCAATTACAATTAGTTTAACTTTGACTCATGGAAACACATAATGATCAATTAAAAGAATATTCAAGATTTTATTATTAAAGGGACAATATTATGCTATTTTCTGATCTATGTTATAATGTTGTTTCCTCATCTCAAACATACCCAGAGCTGTGTTTTGTTTTAGAGTTTTGTGTTTTGTTTGAGAGCTGTTCTCTCAAACAGAAAACACTCAATTCCACCTTATGATGTCATGTGGTAATACAAGAAGTGCTCCACTGTGTTTTTAAACTCCATACACCTTCATTAGAATCATTTCAGCCCTGGAGTTACCAATCTCTACTGAACTAAAGGTAGAAGAGTGTTGTTAATTTGAAAACTACTACTTGATGACATCACAAGGTAGAACAGAGCATTTTGAGCTTTGGAGATGTAGACAGACTAATAATAAAGGCAAGGCAAGGCAAGTTTATTTGTATAGCACAATTCGTACACAAAGTAATTCAAAGTGCTTTACAGAAAGTACAGAAAGAAGGGTCACACAACATAACTTCAGTTATGTTTTTGATGAAGTAACCACATTATAACATGGTTAACAGTTCACATGAGTAATTTTTGCATAATATAGGACCTTTAAAACCAGTATAAATCAAAGTCTAGGAAAGGTCCATATTTCTTTTGTATTTCCCAAAATGAGGAACAAATATGAACAGAATGGGACTGGAAAAAAGCCACATTACTTTTCTATGAATGTAAAGTAGAAAGAAACATTTGGTCTCACTATATTACAGAAATACATACATACATGTTTATTACTACTTAAGCGGGGCAAACTCCCAAAATCTGCCTTCTTGTTTCAAACTTTGCTCCTCAAATTTGACATCAGTTCAAGTATTATTTTCTATTTAATTTCTTATTTGAATCAATTAATTTGTAATGTGAAATGTATCCCTTCAAGACAATGTGAAAGGAATTAGAGCCAAATTTGAATGAAGATAGCCATAGAACATTTTCACAAAGCCTATTATAATGGTTTGTAATGTCACCTATATCCAGTGTTGTTTTAATCAGTCACTATATTTAAGAATGCAACTTACAGACACTTGGTTCTCATTGTTTGATCCTCCACTGCACCACTCCTGCCTTTTCTGTTCAGTGGTTTTTAATCTGCATTTTGTACTCTCGACTAGCTGTGTAAAATATCCAGAAATGTTGACAGGTTTAAGTACCTTTTGAGAGAATAAAGTTTAAAATAAATTATACCTGTGTTGTTGTCATTCATTTACTTTAGTCATTTTAAAAAGTGCATTGTGTAACTTTTCTGGTGGAGGGTCCCATCATCTGCTTGTCTTCACGGAGATGTTATTACTTTGCCTAGAATATTCCATGGTAGATTAAATTTATCTGTCTCAAGGAAGATAACTAAAGGCTACATTACAGGTCAGCTCTGTGGAGAGGTGACCCTATTCATTGAGAAAATTATTGTATTTTTGAGCAATAGAAACACCCGTAATGAATAAATGCTAGATAGATTTGTTTAAAGTCATACCATGGAACATTCCAGGCAAAGTAATAACATCCATGGAGACAAGCAGGTGACAGACCGTCCAACAGAAAGGCTACGCAGTGTTTTTAACATATTTGGATTTTGGGGAGAAAATAGTGAGGATCTATAATAGGGTAACACAGGGGCAGCATGCAGAGTCCTGGTCCATGCAGAGTCCTGGTCCAAGATTTGACCTCTGCTAAATGGCAAAAGTGCCAGAGAGCTGCTTTATTATGTGTTCCTCAGTTCTTTACTGATTTACTGCAAGCTAGAGGTTGTATATGTAGGCATAAACACATCTATTTTCTGATCTATGTTATGTTTCCTCATCAAAAACTCACCTGGATTTGTGTAATCCCTCAGTCGTTCAGGTAGAATTCACAGTAAAAGAAAAATTCAATTCTGTCAACTGGACAAAAGTTTTTGATTGAGTAAATTTAATTCACCCAAGTAGTTTCTTCAGTTCTGGTCAGACTCTGGTGGACACTGCCATTTATCTGCCTGAAGGGAGGAGTGAACTACACTGAAACAATCTGAAACTAACACACCTACTTGTTTATAGTTTCTGTTTGTTAGCTAGGCCTTTTGAACTACACAAACTGTGACCTGTGTCTGAGTCATAGTAGCATATTTCAAGTCCCTGATGGGTGCTTTCTCACCTCTCAGCATACTGGCTATCACTACTCTTTTCTTTGCTTAAATAATCCATATGATTCTAGTGAAAGTCATGTATGGAGTTTAAAAACACAATGGAGCTTTTCCTGTATTACCACATGACATCACAAGTTGGAACTGTATGTTTTCCCTTTGAGAGAACTCAGCCTAAATATGCAGGGATTGCGTGTTAAACACGTGAATGGAACAAAACACAACTCACGGTTTGTTTGTGATAAGGAAACAATAGTGTAACAGATCAGAAAATAGAGCCCTTTAGAGAATATGACCCCCTTAACAATATAAAACACAAAACGCACACACATTTCAGAATTGATTTATTAAGTATGAACAATATTACAGATGGAACCAAAAGGCATTTCTCCATTAAGCAGGCTAATATGAGTTGAGCTGCATTTGAATTTAATAGACAATTTCAAACATACATCCAGTGGCGGTTGACAGAACAATGCAAAAACAGCCCCAAGACAACCTTAGTAATTAGATGATAGTTGACAATATGCTAAAGATGCTACATAGCTTATAGCAATATGAAACCTTGAATTGTTGTCATCTTTACAAACTCAATGCGTGTATGCCTGGAAGCGATGGCATACGAAAGGAACATTTTCTTCAAAACAAATAAGATGGATACAGATCTGTTTTTTTTTTTTTTTCACTAGCTATATCATTTTATCATTAGCCAATTTTCCACAGCGAGGTCGGACATTATGAGGCCCGCCAGGAGTTTCTGCATTTGCACTAAACATTCATTTGCATGTATAGTTCTCGCTGCTGGCTCTATAATCCTCTCAGCTTGGCTACAGATTCACTAAACACATTATGCATTTCCATCATGAGATATGACCATTTTTTCCCTGTGTAGGTTCAGCTTTGGAGGCACTGCTGGTGAGACTGTGGCTGTTACAACACAACCGTCTAGAAAGGGGAAAGCAAAAGGCACTGTACAATTTTAAACATTTCATTTTTGATTCATTTTGTAAAAGCTGTGCAGTAATTTTAAGGCAAGTAATAGATTTTAGAGTGCAATTTTGATAGGAACCATTTTGAGATGAGGATATTTACTGGTTCAGCTTTTTTTTAGGTGACATTTTGAGGACATTTGACTATTCAAAGATATAAAATTTTGTTCAGTTTTTGTATTAATTTGTAAATTTTCATCAATATAAAATCCATTTAGGAGTTGCCAGTTGCCATATTTTTTTTTTATTTTATATTTTTACATTTTATTCCCGTGCCCCAGGGTTTTAGGGGTCAAAAAATATAAAATTATATTGGGGGGGGCCATGTGAGGCTTCTTGCCCTGGGCCCCCAAATTTCTATTGACGGGCCTGACTACCATTTGTTATTTCAATACATTGTGATGTGGGAGATAATGTGTCCAAATAATTTCTCTTGTGGATCAATAAAGTTTGTCTAAGTCTAAAATATTGAACTTTGTGCCAGTTTTTGTTTCATGTAAATAGATAGGCCCAGTAATGACAACAGAGGTTCTACAATATTGATATCACGTAAACACAACCCATTATATATTTTATCGTTAAGCTTTTATGCATATTATTTTGTTCATATAATTTAGAAGGCAAACATTCACACAGCTCTGTACATGATATAATGATCTAGTAATGTGAAATTAGCAGCACTGAGACAAAACAAGCAAAAGCTGCATCTTTAACCGGCAAATTTGTTTTCATGCATTTTCACAAATCGCAATTATAAACTTGGGTAAATTAATTTTTCATGCGCTCCCGGACTTGTGTCGGAGCCTGGCGTAGTCTGTTAATCTCCTCTTGGGTCCTATAATAAATCTTTATTAACAGAAGGGAAACTGAGAATAAATTAGATTAACAAAATGATGGCGGGGTAAGTTTTGAGTTTTCATTTATCCAGTCAAAACAGGGACATAAATAATTATGTCAAAACTAAAAAGAAAAATCTGACAATATTTCCCCAATTCTGTTATATAACAAGCTACAAAAGAGATAAAACTGTGGAGTAGGCATATAGTCCATCTTTCACAACTGAAGGACAAGTAATTACAACAAAAGATTTTCTCAAGATAGACGAAAACCTTGAAAATATTCTCCCAAAGACACACATTAACTTTTCACGTTAATGTTTCACAAAAATTACAATTAAAGCTAAATTGCTATCACTCAGGGGTAGTGCTTTGAATTCCAGCATTGAGAAAACCATACACCAATCAAGCACAACATTATGACCATCTGTCTAATATTCAGAAACAAAGAATAAATTTTATGTTTGTGTTCATTAAATCAGAACTAAGAGACATTTAAATTTCATTTTTTGAAAGACTGAAGGAAGAAGACAGAGGAAAAAGACTAAGATTAAGAGTATTTTTTTTCCCCATATGGCCCAGCCCTGCCTAACTATGCACATTTATCTGTTATGGCTGGTTCACCAGTGGACCCTCATAGGTACATTCTGATCCTTGAAGATCAGGAAAACCCAATATAAGCAAGCTACAGTTTTGAAAATACTCTGATCTAGCAGCTCTCACAACTTGTTTGCCATGGGCTGAATTTTGTAGCTTAAATTGATGATTACATATTAGGCAGGTGGTCATAATGTTACGCTCTATCAGTGTACAACATAGTATCAAAGCACACACATTTTGAAATTAACATCTGAAAACGCAAAAATGACATGGAAAAAAGTCTTACAAAACATCACTTTATTCACAAGTCATTTCTGCTTGATTAGGAATAATTTAATAAGCAAAATATTACACAGTACAACTAATTACAGAAAACCAATCGGTATTAAGGCTGCTTTTTTTAAGATTAAACCTGCAATACACTAAAAATGAGGCAGTGAATTAATGCACTTTGAAAAATACAGATATGAATATGATATGATACAATATAGACCTGGGTTGTATTTGGTAGCATCAGCAGTGGTGAGGCATTCAAGCGCTCCCTCTTTGGTGCGATTTTATGCCCTTGCTGCGTTCAAAGTCCAGCATGATTATAGAAAAAGTGTATGAACATGTGGCCATTCTCTCTGCTAACTATTAATAAAATATAAGTATTTATTTACATCTTAGTGCAGTTAAGGCTAAAGACACTGCTGCCGTGTACATTCTTTCCTGAATTGTTTACAAAGATATTGAGTTGTAGCTATGTGCCATTTTGCTTGAATGTAGCGTGAGGCGTGAGGCAGAGACAAAAGACTGGCCCAAAATGGAGGCGCGCCCCCTACTGGATGAGTTTATTGGCTCGTGTGTTGGCTTCGTCGATACGCACTTTGTTCATCTCCGCCTGAAACACAGACAAAAGGTTCCGTCAGCTGCTTGTATCCATGGAGAAGTTATTGCTTTGCCTGAAATGTCCCACAATATTGCATTAAACTTATATTATTTGCATTTATTCAATTACAGGGGATTTTTAAGTTACATAGTGCACCTTTAAATATGCAGCCATATACAAATAAAAATCTATCCACACGGTACAGTACATATCTAATAGAAGCACAAAAACCTGCTCTTGATGGTGTTTGAAAGGGGAAAAACACATTAGTCTTGGCTCTTACCTTTTCCGTGACGCGATCGATCTGTTTGTTTTGCTTGTCTATTTCACTGCCCATGTCCAGAGCCATGTTCCTCAGGTTTCCAATGATGCCACCAACCGCTTCCAGGTTCTCCTCCATCTCATCCTCACGAGCATCATTAGTTATTCTAGAAATACATACACAGATGAGCCATAACATTATGACCACCAACTGGCACAGAAATAATAGCTTGATTATGACACCTGTGTATAAAAAATTAGGCTGTGTGGTTGCAATTTTGTCTTCAAGGTTATAATGTTAGTTTAAGGTCCAATATTATGAAAAACTGACTGAGCTTTAAGTCATATTGTTACCTCCTCCAAAAACTGTTGTCTTTGTGTTTTGTTTCATTTATACAGCTTTGAGTAATCCTTTATTATTAATCTGCTTAACCTGAGCCAATGCTCAAAATGTGAAGTGCTCCATTGTATTTTTAAATTCCATACACCTTCACTAGAATCATTTGGGTGATTTCAGCTCTGGAATTGTCTGTTTCTACTGAACTCAAGGTAAAGGGGCTCACTTAAAAACTACTGCTTCATGACATCACAAGGTGGAACAGAGGCAAAGAAGAAATTTTATTTGTCAACTGTACAAACGTTTAGCAGCTCTTCCAAGCTGCTTCTTCAGTTCTGGTCAAAATGCTGGTGAACACTTCCTCATATCTGCCTGCAGGGAGGAGCTAACTACACTGAAACTACTCTGAAACTGAAAACATTCTACTTGTTTACAGTTTCTGTTTGTTAGCTAGGCCTATTCATCTGCCCCGAGTGAGGGGACATAATAGCATAATCACTCAGGCACGAAATGAGCTAACAAACAGAAACTGTAAACGACTAGGTGTGTTAGTTTCAGGGTAGTGTTATAGTAGTTAGCTCCTCCCTGCAGGCAAATATAAGGAAGTGTCCACCAGCATTCTGACCTGAACTGAAGAAGCAGCTTGGATGACTTGTGAAATGTTTTCAACCTAAATAAATGTTTATGCCACCTGAATTTCTCCTTTGCCAGGGATTCTACCTGGATGACTGAGGGATTCTACACAAAGGTGGAACAGAGCATTTTGAGTGTTGGAGATGTAGAGAGATTATGTGAATGAGACAGATTAATAAACCAGGAACAAAACAACTCTGGCCATGAGGAGGTAACAGCATTATAACATGACCTAAAGCTCACAAGAGTCAATTTTGTGTAATATAGAATACAACAAATACAATACAAGTCTTTTGTTGAAAATGGTTTGAACCCTGTGCAACAGCTACAGCTAGTTTGTGAGTTACATCATTGGCCCATTACACATTTGTACATTGCCCTAGTTTACAGTAGCTGAACAATAAAGTCTGAATCTCACCTCTTGATGTAGGGTCCGGACGGCTGGGACGCGTTGACCTGTGCCGCCTGTCCGTTGCGGACTCCAGAGGGTTGCCTGGAGACCACCCCGGAGCTGTTACTTTCTCCCTCGCCATCGCTAATCCCCCAGGTCTTCTTGTACCGGGAGTCGTGTTCAATAGAAGACACCCTACGAGGAAACACACTCAGATTTATTCAAACGTATGAATAAATTATACGTGTAACAACAGAAATGTCTACAATGGCAGCTTTTCTCCAAACATTTCAGACATAGGCCGCCTACCTTATCTGCAGGTATTCATCAAAGTATCCCATTCTTCAAAGGGAAAGCATTGTGGAAAGATTTGACTTGAGTTTTAAAAAGTTTTAATTATACTATGCGCACAAACTACATGAAAACAGGGTTCAGTCAAAAAGAAACCATTTGAACAATAGATACAGTATGTGTTCAGATGACACTCAAACAAAAAGGTGGAGATGCTGCTGTGACACGTAAAGGTGCACCGAGAGATTTTGAACAGTGATAATAATGACAAGTAAAGGTGTGCTATGTAACTTTTCTAGTGCTCGTCACCATGGAGATGTCACTGCTTTGACTGGAAAATTTCACAGTATGGCATTAAGCACACTCAGTAAGAATGCACGTTTTTCAAGGTATTTTTGGCAATAAAAATAAAGAGATAAGTTTAATGTCAAATCGTGGAACATTCAAGACAAAGCAAATACATCTCCAAGGAAGCAAGAAGATGACAGTCAACCCCATCCTTGTTACATAGTTTATGTACAAACTGGAGGCTAATTTTAAACACATAATTGTTAAGAGTTTATAAGCACATGTAAATAAGTTTCCAAAATGAGCAAAAATACAGTATTACCCTGACATTATAAAATTTGTCCCTTGAAGGTTTCCAGGGTGTCAGAGGTCGTAATTAATTTGAGATTTCCACAAAAAAGTACACATTGCACCTTTAAGTATCCACAAAGGGCACAAACTTAGACTAATCATTGTGAAACTACAGCCAAGAGCAGTCCATGGTTTGAGAAATGAGATGAAAATGTATTCAAACTCAGGGGAAACAAACAGGCAATCACTCAACTGATACAGATAAATACAGAGCTCGGGCGAGCGGTGCATGGAGCGTACCAGGTAAGAGAAGGGGGTGGCAAAGAGGGCAAAGAAGCGGGCAAAGGGAAGAGGAAGGTGAGAGAGAAGAGTGAGAGGTGGGCAGAGGACATAGACTGTATATATATCTATAAAGGGACATAGCTAACCCACTAGCCGCTGCGTTCCAAATAGGAAGTGAGCATGAGGTGGTTCTGGCTCCGATCGATTCTGGCTTCAATTGACTTTACATTGAAAAATTCTCTCTCTCTCTGTAACTGCTGCAGTGAGCTTCGTCACTTTGGTCTTAAAGAAGGGAACAGAGGTGGGGGTAAGCAGAATGAGTAATAGAGGGGAACGGAAAGGGGTCAGAAGACGAGGGAGGAGACAGGGTCAGAAGATTATAAGATGGAGAAAGAAAGGGTGAGTAAGAAAGAGAGGGGGACAGAAGGAAGAAGAGGGGATGAGAAAGAGAGGGGGACATAAGGAGGAGCAAGAGGGGATAAGAAAGAGAGTGGAACAGAGTGGAGCAGAGGGGGTGTATGTGAGCGTTGTTGTACCTGTTACAGGGGCACACACACAGACCACAGCACTTGGACAGGTCGGTCAGGTTCTTCTCGGCCGTCCTCATGTCCTGGTTGATCTGGTCCATGCCCTCCTCCGCACGCCTCAGCTGCTCTGCACACGGCACGAAACAGCACACTTTAATACTACCCACACCTTGTCTATAGTGTCATTAGACTTCTTCAGGTCTGCTTTAGAGCTATATCTAAACATAAATTTAACTGAATTTAATTGTTGTCTTTTTGAGCCTATTTTATTGGTACAAAATATTTAACCCAGATGTGTATATTTTCAAGTAAATGTTTAATGTCCTATATTACACAAAATGCACTCTTATGAGCTTTAGGCCATACACATTTGAGTAATCCTTTATTATTAGTTTGTCTACACCTTCAAAGCTCTAAATGATCTGTTCCACCTTGTGATGTGAAGTGGTAGTTTCCAAGTTATGATAACAGTTCCCTTTTAAATTGTGTTTAGACATGATTGGAAATTCCAGGGCTAAAGTTATTCAACAGATTCTAGTGAAGGTGTATGGAGTTTAAAAACACAGCTGAGCAGTTCCTGTATTACCACATGACATGGAACAGAGCCTTATCTGTTTGAGACTCGACTCTACGCCTAAATCTGCAGCGTTTGTGTGTTATGAAACAAAACAAAACTCCAGGTATGTTTGTGATGAGGAAACATTATAACATAGATCAGAAAATAGAGTACAAGAATCAGCATATCATAAAATTAACTCCACATCTTTTGGCTGTGTGCAGTTGGTCAAGAGCTTCATTTTGTCAAAACTTGGACCTCAGAGCATAATGCTTTGATTTGAACATCAGAGCTGAAATCTTCTTAAAAACCTTGGGTGTTCTCTGTTTGTGTATCAACTTATTTTTCAAGGTTTCCAAAATCATAATTAACTTGAATAGTTCCTGTGAGGACTAAAGTGGGTCACGCAGCAGGAGCCAGACACAGATTAGCATATGCATAAAAAATATATACACATTCTGACAAACAGCACTTTTTCCTTCAAGAATAAAGTCAAGGAAAAACGTGCATAAAAAATTGAAAAAGGAGATCACATCTGAAGAGTACAATTACAGATTTAAAAGACTAGTTTTTTGAGTAATGCACTAATAGACATCTTTTAACTTCACTGTAACTTCTCTAACTTGTATTCACTTTTACAAATCATAATTAAAGCTACAAACTAATAGAAACCTTGACCACACAGACTAGTTTGTGTGGCAGTGTTTCTTGCTTGTGCTGACACCTCTGACAGCTCCTCTGTGCAACAACTCCACACAAACTTTTTGTGAATAAATAACAAGGTTTTTCTCAGTGCCGCTGCAAATATAGAAATGACAGAAATGATGTAGGCACTGACCTAGAAAAAAAACTGAACTGTATTCCTAAAATAAAACTGCATATTAAACCAGTAGCAAATAATCATATGTAAATTTACTACAACATCAATACCTTTTTAACACGTTTCACTGTATCAAAAACTCGCATGTTTACTTACTTACTTACTTTTTTTAAATATTTTGTTGACTCAAATCAAAATTGTGAAGGCCATTATGCTCACCTCCAGTCCTGCCTTTAAAGCTACACTATGTAACTTTTTTATTTAGGGTTCTATCACCTGCTTGTCTAGACTTAATGGAAAAGTTATTGCTTTGTTTTGAAAGTTCCATAGTAAGACATTAAATATATTAAATTAGAACACATTTATAAACTGGTATTTTATTACTCCTTGAAAAATGTGCATTCTTACTGTGAACAAGATTGCTTCTCCACAAACCTAATCTGTAATTTTTGCCTTCTTGCACCACTTTGTTGTGTCCATGGAGATAAGTTTACTGCCAGAGTGAGGAGCATTTCAGACAAGAGAATAACATCGCCATTGAGACAAACAATTACATTTAAATAAATATAGAAAAAAAATAAACAAAAAAAGATAATTACGTCATTTCCGAATTTGTGAATGAATCTTATAATCTCTCACTGTTATTATTTTCTTCTTTTCAGTTTGTTTCATTTTTACACTCATGTTTAGCTAAATAGTACACTGTACCAAATCCCTTGTATTGTTATGAGTATTTACCTCCTTGCTGATCCAACATCACCATGGTGTTGACGCCTGTCTGTTTGCTCTAGAAATACAAGAAAAAAAATACAACACTTGAGATTCACTGGGAGTAAAATGTGGCAGAATGACATTTATGTGAAAGTAGTAATTCAAAATGTTGTGAAAAGGTCAAAGTGAAACAAAGTGAGACAAAGTGAGGTGGACATTTAGGTTTGTTTTAGTGTTTTAGACTCAAACTCACCTCCTCGGCCAGCTGCAGCATTCGGCGAGTGCTCTCCAGAGACTGTGGAGACATGACATAGCTAGTGAAACATGTATGAGGAGAACAGGGCTGGACAATATTGGAAAATTCTGAGATATGAGATAGAGGAGAATGCATTTATTTGTACTTGTCCTATTACTAACAGGTGTTTTCAGATTCTAAAAGGTGATGATGCCATTCTCTCAAATATTCAACCATAACCAGTGTAACAAGATGTATTTATATTAGGGATGTAACGATATGCAAATCTCCAGGTACGATATTTACTGGGATATTTTGTGAAGGTTAACTAAATTGTTAATATGCTACTTTTACCTATTACAATTCTTTGACAAGACTTTGGTCCAAATAACTAAGATCATATGTGCTTAATAACAGTTATTTCTTCATGTAGTCTCCACTGAAACAGAGCAAAGGATCATGGTCTATGTAGTTTCCATTGTTTAGAATTTTTTAGCTATTGCTGCACCATAACAATGAATTTAAGCAAAGAGACTTGTAATTTGATATATTGTGACAACCCATGATATTATTGTGAGACTTTTGACGACACAATATCACGATATTTCAGTTATTGTTACATTGGGGAAGCATCTAAAGATATAAGACACTGCTTTATCTTTAAAACATATTATGCGCCTATCACTACTGAATCCTGCGTGTTGAAGGAAAAAAGAAGGACTCTGCATAATATCTGTCCTTAAATATATATAAAACAAAGAATCATCACAAAATGACATGATCATTTCTTTTAGTTACTATACCCTTAAACTCGTTGTGAAACTCATCAACACTATGGCTAAATACAATACCATCATTAAAACAAAAATGAAACGCAAAAAAAATTGGACAGGGGGAGCTGGAGAGCCATTTCATACTTACTTCACATTACACTTTGTACATAACATGTTTTACATTTCTCCAACTGACAAAGCACAAATGGGTAATTATATATATATAAAAAGTTTTTATAAAATTATTAGAAAATAGACTATGTATTTGGCAAATGTGAATTATCTGTCTGTCTTTCACCTTGTGCCTGTTTTTCACTGCATAATCATCTACGCATGGCCACAAAAGAAGTAAAAAAAAAAAAAGGTCTAAAAATACACTGTCTTTAGATTTATAGCTGTGTTACCCAGTGTTATCCCTGATTATTCTATTGGGGGGACTTTTTATAGTTCATATATTTAATTATGACCTTCACAACATCACTTTAGTTCCCTTTAGTTTCCTCTAGTTCCCTTGTGAATAATACAACACTCAATAGTCTGTAATACACTACATACCAGCTGCATAATCATGGACAGGTAATATTGATACTCTATATTGATGGTCTAGTCTACAATGTTATGGAACTCTCTGGGGCAATTTTTCAACCAAACATTCCCTCTGGGGGGTTAAAACGGTAATTTACAGTGTTTCATGTGTCACATAAAAGTCCCTAAATCAGTGATAATGATATGAAATAACTAACCACACCTCTGTTTGCTTTGTGGCTACTGAAGAGATGATGTAATGGGAGGAATACATTCTTATGTAATAGAAGGCGAGTTAAATTAGAGCAGTGAATGTGAGCATGAAGTGATTTTAAAGATACACTGCGCAACATTTCTGGTGGAGGGTCTTGTCTCCATGGAGATGTGTATTGTTCTTTAAACATTTTCATCTCACTTTTATGCATTACAGGTGTTTCTGTTGCTCAAAAATATAATAAGTATGTAATTCCTTCTGTGAATAGGGGCGCCTCTCCACAGATCTGAACTGTAATGTAGCTTAGTACTGTAACCTGCTTGTCTCTCTTGTGATAAATGGTTTAATCCATACTGTGGAACATTCTAGACAAAGCAATAACATTTCCGTGGAGACAAATAAGCTCCACTAGAAATGTTACACAGTGCACCTTTAAGAAACCATCTTTATATGAACAGTTTTCTACTATAATGTGTTTCCAATTCGGCTTGAGTATATAATTTAACATTAAATAAGTGTACATAAATATAAGCAAATTAAGTGTCATTGTATAAAAAGTCATGTTAACCAATATGAAGCTTTTAGACAATCCTTAAGCTAAGTAAAGTGTAAGTACTGTAAGTACTCCAAATGGTTATACAAATGTTTGCACAGCTTGTTCAACTGTTTTTTATTTCTTGTTCAAAGTCTATTTGAAACAGTAGCGCTGTCCACAAACATTCTGCTGTAAAACTCAGACTTGACTTTACTCAGTCAGCCGACACGAACAAGCAAAGGTACAGAAATGGGAGGAAAAACTTGACATACTGAAAGAAGAGTTTAAGTTAAATCTGAAAGACGCTTTACACTTTGTACACTTCTAGAGGAGAGTCTGCAACCTGATTGTGTAGACTGAGATGTTCATGCAGTGTCTGTTATGTTACGCAGAATGGCATTACACTCATCCATCTTTTATTTATTTAATTACATGTGTTTTTATTCCCCCAAATACCCAGGGAAAAGTCATGCATTAGTGTGAAAAGTGACACCTCTCCACAGATCTGACCTGCAACTTAGCCTGGTCGAGTTACCTGCTTGTCTCCAATTAGAAGTTTAATGCCATAATGTGGAGCATTTTAAGACAAAGAGAAAAGCTGCATGGTGCACCTTTAAAAATACGAATATTATTACAAAGCCAGAGACATGTGCTTCTTTGAAGTACTTACATTTCTATCCACCTATGTGCGTAAAATCATATTAAAACATAATTGTCCTGGTATTAAAGCACTTCGAAACAGTAACAGAAGTCATTCAAAAGCAGAACTGGGCACGGAGGAGACAGAGGCAGACAGTTCAGGTAAGTTTGTGCGTCTCTATTCTTAACAGAAGCCCAAAGCAAAGCGTCTGAAAAAAAGAGTCTCAGAATAACTGGGGGCATGGCTCTTCTCTCCCATCTCTAATGAACCATAACGGGAAAGTCTTCTCCTCCTCCTCCCCCTCTCTTCTTCTTCTGTGTAATGTTTGTATGAATATATTAATCAGAGAAACAGACAGACAGTGTATTGGCACAGAGAGCGTGGCCAGATCAGAGGCAGAACATTGCAGGAGTGGTTGGTAAATATTACATTATGTTGCTGGAATATCCATGATCTTGGCTAATTAAGTCCGGAATGGAGCAGGCGGCCAAGTTTTCCAGATTGGGACTTTGGGAAGCAGACAATGCCGGGGTATTTTTAACACAATTTTGGGTTGGATTAAATGGAGTTAAGGCTGGTATGTGCTGGAGCAGAAAGAGAAGGCACTTAGAAGTAGCATTTTATAGCTGACAAAACTCAAACTATAAATGAAATTTAAAAAGTGAAATACAATCTAAAAAAAAGTAAGAAATAACATAAGGTAAATACTTTTTAACAATACAACCTATGATGTTTTTTACTGCTAATTAAATCATGACTATTATATTTGAACCCAATTTTCCCTGAAGGTGGAAGTACTATAAACATGGACTGATACTTTGATGTACTGGAACACAATGTAAGAACAAAATGACAGACTGCAGTGATGATTTCCGAAATAAACAAAAAAGGACAAAGTGGGTTTGTTTATTTTGGACATCAAACCCCACAGTACAGGGTCAATGCCTTGATTGAGGTCTGTGCTCACTGAATGTTGCCAGTTAGGGGCTTTTTTCTCTAAATAATGACAGTGTGTTTTAGATATATTAAAGGTCCTAGATTACATAAAATTTACTCATGAGCTTTATGTTTGAGTAATCCTGGTTTATTAGTCTGTCTACATCTCCAAAGCTCAAAATGCTCCGTTCCACATTGTGATGTCATGTAGTGGTTGTTTTCAAGTTAACAGCTCCTTTTACCTTTAGTTAGTGTAGAGATTTCCAAAACTGAAATGATCCAAATGATTTTAGTGAAGATGTATGGAATTTAAAAACACAATGGAACTTCCTGTATTACGACATGACATCACAAGGTGGAACAGAGAGTTTTATATTTGAGAGAAGAACTCAGCCTAAATATGCAGGGTTTTGTGTGTAAAACATGTGTGAATGAAACAAAACCACCATTATAACTTAGATACATTTTTTTGTGAGATATAAAATATGATTTTTATGATAACTGAATAAACATACAGCCACAATGTTCGCTTCATTGCTTCTCTATTTCCCAAATACATACAAATCTGTAGAAAAAGTATCAGTTTGATATACTCCGTACTTGACATATCCATTCACTGTAAACATACCCCGATATCTACATGCACTGATACACACTGCCCATTACTAATAAACAAAACAATGTGATTTATAGGAAGGCTCACATATATCTGAATAGGGCCCAGAATGACATAAATGATACTATAAAACTATACACTACTCTGATGTGAGACCAAAAACAGTCTCTTCCTGTGCTGCTGATGTGGCTCTGATAGTGAGTTTTGATGAGTCAGATGTAAGTGCTGATTACACAGAGACACAGCACTAAAGAGACAAACAACACAACACAATGGGGAGAAACAGCAGCAAAAGAAAGAGAGGCAGGGGAAATGTGTTTTAGAGATGTAATAATATCATCATGGACTATTACGAAGCCGAATTGTAATTTCCTGGGTCTAAAATGCATTTTGTTGCTATGGGATACACTCAGGGGCCGCACAGTTCCGCCCTGTACCACCCCTCTGGAAACAAGGCTCTAGACTATAATCCTTTGCTTCATAGTGCACACAGCAGGAACACTACTTACTATTGTGCAATTCTTTTTTTTTTATTTCATCTGTATTTCATATTTTTTATTGGACAACAAGAACACATCTATTTTTCAATTCTTAGTATCCGTACTGAATTCATTAATGTTCCCCATCAGTGTTTCACAACTGAACACAAGTAATAATGAAATGATTACAGTTCATATTTGAGTCTTAAAAGTCGCAAAATTTACTCTAGTGATATTTAAGTCATGTTCTAATGTTGCTCCTCAAAAACACATGTTTGAATAACTTAATATTAGTCTGTCTACATCTTAAAGGCTCAGAATATTCTGTTCCACCTTGTGATGTCATGAAGCAGTAGTTTTCTATTTAACAGCTACATTTTACCTTTTGTTCTGTAAAGATGGCAATTCCAGGGCTGAAATTTATCCAAATAATTCTAGTAAAGGTGTATGGAGTTAAAGAAACAAAGTGGAGCACTTCCTGTATTACCACATGACATCACAAGGTGTTCTGAGAGAAGAACTTAGCCTAAACATCCAGGGTTTGTGTGTTAAACATGTGTGAATGAAACAAAACATGACTTCGGGTATGTTTTTGAAGAGGAAACAACATTAAAACATAGGTCAGGAAACAGAGTAATATGGACGCTTTAAATACAGAATTAAAAAAAAAAAAACAGTATTGAAAACTGCTACATTTATACAGAGAAAAGTGCCTTAAAAGTTTGCCTTATAGTACTGTGAGATTAGCAAAATGGTTACCTCTCTGAGAAAGTACTAGCATATTAGCCAGTGAAGCAATTATCTGAAGGTGAAGATGCTTGCTAGCTCCTGAATTAGCATTAGCTCATTATTTAGGCCATTAGCATCAGATGGCTAATCGTAATGTGCCCTGAAGCGCTGATTAAACAATTATCTGTGTAATAATAAAACTTTTAAATATGGCCGACAACACTGCGCAGTCAAAGCCACAGAGGGAAACCATGTGCTAAATTAGCCATAACCTTCCTCTGCACCTGACACAACATTCCATACAATTAGCCTAATGGTCATTTTGATGAGGTTTTAATGTGCAAGCCAATGTCAATAAGAGCGCTGCCAATTACTCTATCATATCTGATATTTGTGGAAATAAGGAATATAGTTTAACACAGAGCCTAGTTTTTCATAAACATCAAATATCATCAGTGGGTGATTTTCTAACTGAGTAAATATTTAATGTTTTTTTTAATGATGAAATTAAATGATGACATTAGTATTTTGTGTAGCATGGTTTCCTTGTAAACAGAAAGTTTGTGATTTGTTTCAGGATAGGTAGTAGTATTCACAGAAGTAGCAATAGTTGCAATAAGAGCAGCTATTCATTCACTTGTGTTAGTATTTATAGTAGAGATCTTTGCTGGAGATTTAAGGCCCATAGTTGACGCTCTAAAAAGGCCAAATATCCAATATATTATTTGATATATTGTTTGTCTATCTCTAATTGATAGAAGAAACAATACTAAAAGTAGTGGTAATAATGCTAGTAGTACCAGAAGTAAGTTCAACTTTTTTGATCTCTAGTATAGAGATAAACAGTATTGCTATTATGGTAGTGAACACTTACTTGGGTTTATTACTAGATGTATTACCTTCAAGTTTTTTACAATTATTGTGTACTTAAAGGTCCTATTAAACAAAGTTAACTCTTGTGAGCTTTAAGCCATGTTAGAATTCTGTTACCTCATCAAAAACTTTGTGTTTTGTTTAATTTCACATGTTTAAATAACCCTTTATTATTAGTCTGTCTACATCTCCAAAGCTAAAAATGCTCAGTTCCACCTTATGATGTCATGCAGTGGTAGTTTTGAAGTTAACATTTACCTTTTACCTTTAGTTCTGTAGAGATTTCCAATTCCAGGACTGAAATGAGCCAAATCATTTTAGTTACTCTGTATGGAGTTTAAAAACACAATGGAGCACTTCCTGTTTTTATCACATGACATCACAAGGTGGAACAGAGTATTTCAATGTAAGAGGAGAACTCAGCCTAAATATGCAGGGTTTGTGTGTTAAACATGTGTGAATGAAACAAAACACAACTCCAGATACGTTTGCGATGAGTCAACATTATAACATCAGAAAATAACATAGCATAGTCTTCTTAATACCTGAGTTGCATTATCACTACATTTATTTCAGTAGTGTCCATCACAGTTAACCTCTGCAGTAGTTTTAGTCCCATGTTATTACTCCAAGTCTCTCAGGATTAGTAGTCCTTGTTGTAATGTGTTTGTGAGCTGATACATGATGCCCTAAAGCTGTGCCCCACCCAGCCTCTGTCCTGGTGTCAGAACTCACCCCCTGCAGGCCTGTGTTTACTACATGTGTATATTACTGGCACTTTCTAGAACAAAGGCGTCTGTGGTGAACGGAAAGTAAAGTGTGATAAACTCAAGTGTTTTTGGAGCAGAGCGCTAAAGGAAGCTAACACAATAAGCTAACACAGAGGCTACAACTACAGCTGCTGGCCATATGTTTAACAATGGACACTTTCAACCATAAGAACTTCTAAAAAAAAAAAAAATCCACTTCAAACTTTTCAAATGTTTCAAATTGTAGCCAAATTTCTTTTTATGATTTTTTTTCAATTCTAATATAGCACAAATGAATATAAAAAATAGACAAAACAAAAACCCTCCCACACCACACCCTTCTCTCTACACTCAACTGTAGCCTAAATTTGACATTCGTAAATTAAATAGCTCAGGGATGGGTAATGAAGAAAAACCTTTCTAATGGAGGGTCCACCCCATGCTCGCCGCTTGGGTAGTTCTCCATGGAAACAGCAGATGAGGCAAAGCTAATGGTCAGATCTGTGAAGAGGCAAGCTCAAGGTATTTTATTTGAGTAATAAACCATCTGTAATTGAAAATAAGATAAGTAAGATACGTTTATTGCCATAGTGTGGAACATGCCAGGCAAAGTAATAATATCTACAAGCAGACAAGCAGATGGTGTACCAGAGAAGCTGCATAGTGTATCTATAAATAAGTGTAAGGGGGGGTGCAAGAGCCAAGTAAGAATTGAACCATAACTAAGTCAAAACTCGACCAAGCATTACAAAAGCAGGTCTACTCCAGGACTATACCAAAAGGAGCTTCAAAGTAACAAAATATAAGACTTGAAAAGGATTAAACTACTTCACAGCTGTATAGTAATGATGGTGGAGATGCGTTTTTAGCGTGGTCCGTACCTCGTCTGTGACCTGATTGGCCTTGATGGTCATCTGCTCCACCGTCATGTCATCCATGGTGATGTTGGTGTTGTCTTTTTTGGAGGCTCCCCCCTTTGCTCCGAGCTCTATGTTTTGTGGCCTATAGAAAGAGTAAGAGAGATTATTATACAAGAAAACGTAAAACAAAACATATTTACAAGAAGCAAACATCACAAAATAAATGAGCAGTTGGAAAGTTTTACAATATTGATATTACATTTTTAAAGCAGGATCAAAGGCTATGGTAGTTTTTCTCCAGTGATCCTGAAAGTCCTGAAATATATTTAAATGTATTAACAATATAGCACCTATACTAGTACTAGCTATTGAAATTTTGCAGTGACGTCATGCTGGGGGTGCTCTAAACGTATCTCAATTGACTAAATGTTCAATAGTTACCATGGTGACACACATTAGTAAAACTACCAAATTTTTTTTTTTTATAGTCTGAACCAATACAAATTGAGTTTAAACAGAACATTTTCAGGAGCCTATGATGAATATGAGCGTTCATGGTCCTATTTAAGAGTTTGATTTTCAACAAAAAAAAGTGAGAGTGACTAATTGAAACCGCACAAATCATCTCATCTGTTGTAGCTCCAACCAAGTCACGTCTTTCTGTTCAAATTGTCTTAAAATAAAGCTCAGATTACATCTAATTTGAGTAACTGATCTTCTAACAGAGCAGCGCTTTCAGTTAGCGTGACACCCCCAGGAAATGTTGATGACATCTGCAGCAAAGTATCAATATCATGAGGTCAACATAAATCTATATTCTCTAGAACCTACTTTTGTCCAGTTTTCCATTTTCGTGTCTCCAAAGAGAGGGAGAAGATGCAAACCATAAACAAATGACTCGTTGCTGTGTGTATGTGAAGGGGATAATGTATTTATTCTAACAAAACCACAGTACTAAAATTAGCTAAATATGTAAACCAACTATGAACAAGTATTATAGAGAAATTCAACACAAAGCTAAATATAAAGTCTGCTCACACTCACAGCAAGCTTTAATCCAAATTAAATCAAAGAAAACCTTAGTAACATTTATGCAGCCAACGTTGCTTCAGATCAAATGGAGTCAAAAGCTTCGTGTTTCTCTTGAGGCCAAGCAGATAAATTATATATTTTATTTGTAGCATGTATTTTTAACATTTATGATTTACACAGAGAGTTTATGAAGAAAATATTTGGGTTACCTTTTGAGAAGTAATAGAAATAGAAAGTAGTGTTTATATTGCTGGATCAAGGGTTAAAATAACAGTTTAGAACGATGAGAAATTAGGACAAATGCCATAGCAAACTTAAAGGTCCTATATTACCCAAAATTTACTCTTGTGAGCTTTAAGTCAGGTTAGAATGTTACCTCCTCAAAAACAGACCCGAAGTTGTGTTTCCTTTCATTCATACATTTAAGTAAACCTGCATTATTAGTCTGTCTAAATCTCCCAAACTCAAAATGCTCTGAATGAAACAAAACATAACTCCAGGTATATTTGTGATGAAGAAACAACATTATAACACAGATCAGAAAATAGCATAATATGAACCCTTTAATATTATAGAATGAGAATGGGAAAAAGTCCTCAAAATGTAACAGTATATAACAGTACGCAGAAATACAAACCCTTCTAAAGTATTGACGCTCAGAAAAATCAGTCAATAAGTTTATTTATCCCAGAGGGCAAGCGCATTGAGCAATACAATACAAGAATATCTAAACTATGATGTAACATTCACATGGAGACAGAGAAAAACAAAATATCTTGGTCATTTGTAATCTAGCTTTGTAAATGCAGAAATCAAAATGAGTAAAATAATCACTTTTAACTGTCTTTCTTTATTTGATTTTTGATTATATCTGGATTTAATATTTATTACTAGAATGGCGGGTTTAAAAACAAAAAAAAATGTAAAAGGAAAAAAAAAAAAGATCTCTAAATCTGGTATAAAAATGAAATAAAATAAAAAATTAACAAAAACTGAAAAAATAATCACAAATGCATTCTGATTTGTGTGCATCATATTCAGCTTTACACAAAATTTCAGTGCACTTTCACATCATCCATGACCTATAAACCTAAAACCAAACCAACACAATAGACAATAGTTCTGTACAGTTCACAATCCCATTTAATACCACTGATTGTGCTCAATGTTCTGCTGCTATATACAGAATAAGTCTATTCTTAACCTTATTACTGCTGAACATTTATTACTGTGGCGAGTGTGACTTAGCAAACAGAACAAACAGAATGACGTCACTGTGTGGAAATGCCCTTCTGTGTTTACACAAACCTGAGACATGCTGCCACCCACGTGATCAGTCATAACTCAAGTCAAGCTGTACATTGGGAGTCATAGTTATGATTTTACTGTACAGAGGTCAAATAACGAAAATATAAAGTAAGTAAATATAAGTAAAAGTCTAAACAAAAAGTCACATTTGTAAAGAACACAATTGATTCTGCATGTTTGGAGAATCTAAAATCTATCTATGTGTAATCTGATGAAGCACATTTACAACCAGCATTCAAATTGTATTGTTATTCTCCTATAATCTACATTCAACTGTACTGGTCTAATTAGCATCATGTCATTAATTTAAAAGAGAAAATTAACATTAACAAAATAACAATAATTTGGGATTTTGGAGACAGTCATAGAGGAATTATACCAGCTACGTTAGATAAAAACAATCATTTCTGTTTAGTTTTTTTAATATACATTTTTTAAACTAAAATTGATAAACAAGACAAAAATAGCCAAATTTATCTCTTCAAAATCTGAACTCTGCTCCAAACCACATGTTTTCACTGACAGGACTGGCTGCAGACCTCTCTATTAAAAAGGGTTAGGGTTAGGGTAATGTCCAAATTTCAGTCTTGACTCAAATTAAAAACTAGGGTTGTCAAAAGTATCAAAAAATCTGGACCACTACGAGTTTATTATTTTTTTTAAGCATTGTGGTATGGGAAATTTTAGTATAATAACAACACTATAGATGAGACCTCTTAATTAAAAACACCCAAACTGATTGCTGACATTTAGAAATGTCCAAATTAGATATATCAGGTTGTAGGCCAATATTTGATCTTTTTAACGTATCGGCTATCAGCCATAAATCTCCAGGAGAGGCCTAAACATGCATGAAATATATAACTTTATTTGAACATTTTAGTCCAAAGAGGGTACTGCAAAAATGTAACTACACTGGACGCTACACAGTTTGTAGAAAAAGGTTGTGGATGGATGAGTTTCTGCTGAATTTTACTTTGATAATTTTAGGAAAATTATCATCAAAATCAAGTCTACATATCAGCCCAAAAAATATTGCCAGAGCTAATTGGTCATCGCTTGCTTGGGATTTTGAAAAAATGCTTATCAGTTGATCTCTTGTCAAATTCAAAACTCACAGAAATTCACTTTTGCCAAATATTTCCCCTTTATACCCTTCACAGTGCTGTCCTTGTTGCTGCTCCAGAACAGCCCCTTTTTCTTCTGTTAGAATTAAATTGTTTTCTGTGAAGCTTAAAAATGTCTTTATTCTTTCACGGCTCCTCTCTCCTCTTTTGTGTTTTGGACTTTTTGACATTTTCCTGTTTCTACGGCGACCTGTGAACCTCTCTTCCCTCTCGGACGTGCAGCAGGCGAGCACACATCCGGAGGGAGTCTCTTCACACGATTTTATGGTGTTGACTCGGCGTTTTTACACTGAAAAAGGACACTTGGTTCACACATAGACTCACAGCACTGCTCTTCCTGGTGACTACTGACTGCTGGCACTGGCTGCAGAAAAATAATAAACTGCAGAATTTCCACATTTGATGGACATTTGTTAAAAAAAGAAGTTCAAATCTGTTCTCAACTGAAAATAGTTACTTCATAATAGCAATTCTCTAGTAAAATAAAACTGTAATAGCAATAACCGTTCAATTAAATTACTTATATTAAAGGTGTACTATGCAACTTTTGGTTGGAGGTCTGCCATATTCTTGTTTCTATGGATATGCCATTGCTATGTCTGGTATGTTTTACAATATGACATTAAACAGCAAACAGCTCTACCTCATATTTATTCAGTTACAGGTGGTTTTATAGCTCAAAAATACTGAGAAAAACAGGGAACCTGGGCATCTATCGAAATATATTGTCAAGAGTTTTTTGTTTTTTTTGGCAGATTTTACTAAATTATTTTGTTACAGAGCTACAGTTTTGTTGCTTATTTATAGAAAGGAATTTATGCAACACATTTGACATTTTCACTGTTTTGATGATTAAAATGGGTGTGCATCAAAATAAGTTTGCGCAAGAAGAGTCATAGTATCACAGCCATCATTTAGTCGTTATTTTTTATTGAACTGTATCAAATCAATTTGTGTACTGTATCGAGATAGGTATTTTATCGTGGTCCATGTATCGAGGTATGTATCATATCAGCAACTTCTTAATGATATCCAGCCCTACCGAAAAGTTACACAATGCACCTTTAAATTATTTATATTAAGTCAAAAGTCAAGTCATACACTACCCTATTACCACAAATAATACGACAATGACAAATTTTACTAAAAATTTACTACTGATTAACTAAATTAAAACTAGAAAGGCAACATTGAAACATATATATTTTTAAGGTACTACAGTGCTTCTACTACTACTATCAGTACTGCAAATACTACTACCAACATCTCCAAAGATGTCAACAGAGCTTGCAATTGTGTAGTTACGGAAATGTTTCAGTTTAATAGTCTAATGTTAAACCACTGGAGTCTTTTTGGTTTACTTTTTACATTGTGGCAAGAATTGAATTAGCAAAACAAACAAAAATGTTGGTGTTTTATCCCAAACTCTATAAGTCCCTCAATATTACTACCAAAATACAGGTCAAATTAACAAAGCAAAGTCACTGAAATACTCTTAAGTAAAATAAACATGTTACCACGACTACCACATTGATTGAAGAAAATACATGGGTGAACAAACATGTCAGTATTAAGTGGCTATCAATTCCTGGTGTCAGTAAATCAACCTCGATATAGCTGCGTATTGATCCAGCCGCTGTGTTTGGAATAAGCAGTCTAAACCACACATGACAAGATATTTTCGGCCAATTTGTGCTTATCTTGCCGTTTCCACCAACCACCATTACACCCTTCACGTTCACGCTCAATAACAAAACAAGAGTTACCACAGGGACCAAGGAAGTGTTGAATAAGCCACAAAACACATGTAGCATTGTAGGGCTGCATAAGTAATTGTAATTAAATCACAATCTCAATTAGCAATCGCAAAGGCTGCAATTTTTAAAGTATTTCGCCCTGCAAATAACAAAATATCCTATTTTATTCAACATTAAGACAGCTAACCCTGTAGTTTAGATCTGTACAAACATGTTTTGCTATGTGATTCTTAGTTTGTCACTATATCATTCAGTCTTTCTGTGAATTCTTCTGGTTTAAAATGTTAAATTTGAATAGAATCATATTATTAAAAGGTCCTATATTACACAAAATTAACTCTTGTCACCTTTAAGACATGTTATAATGTTACCTCCTCAGAAGCATAGCTGGAATTGAGTTTAGTTTCATTCACACATGTTTGAGTAACCCTTTATTATTAGTCTGTCAACATCTCCAAAACTTAAAATGTTCTGTTCCACCTTGTGATGTAATGAAGCTGTAGTTTTCAAGTTATCAGCTACCCTTTTACCTTTTGTTCAGTAGAAATCGGTAACTCCAGGGTTGAAATAATCCAACTGATTCTAGTGTATGGAGTTTAAAAACACATGATATCACAGGGTGACGTGAACACAGCCTAAATATGCAGGGTTTGTAAGATAAACATGTCTGAATGAAACAAAACACAACTCCAGGTATGTTTTGATGAGGAAACAACATTTTAACATAGATAAGAGAATAGTGTTATATGGGCCCTTTAAAACATAAATCGCACATCTAATCACAATCATTCATTCATCATACATTCATCATTTGTCAAATCATTTTCCCAAACTGTGCAGCCCTATAGCATTAATTTAATTATTCACAATGTCTTTCTATAGTCTCTGGGTCAGAGCTCTATCCAGATCTCTTCTTAAGGCAAAGCAGAGAGAAGCATTTCTGGTTGTTCCTCCCAAACCTGTTTCTCCACCTCAAGACAACAGCACACAAACTGACTTCTTTTGTCCTGTAGCGAGCGCATGGGTCGCATGATCATTGTTTAAACTGCAAACTTTGTTTTTTAAGATTTTCATGAATTCTCTATGCATCTTACATCCAAACACTTTATTTATAATGTAGTGCTACATTACTATGACTTAGTAAACATTGGTAACAGTAAATAAAGTTGAAATAAACAGAGCAAAGACTGTGACCTATAATTGTGTTTACTCATAATGATAATTTAACTGTGCATAGTTATAACAAACAAGTATATTAGTAGCCTATATTAATATTAATTCGACTTTACAAGAGGATCCAAGCCCCAACCATTGACAATACAACGTTGTAATTACGAAGTGTGAGATTTCTCAAGACTTTTTCAGTGAATAATGAACCTGAAACCCTAAAAAGAATTCCAATATTATTTAAAATGGGGAAGGTCCATTAGTTTACAGAAACCTACGACTTTCAGGTAGTTATTTCCGCTCTTGAGACGTGTTTAATAGGAAGAACAATGTAGTAACACCATTAAGTTTAATTATTTTAAAGGTTTGTGCAGAAATGCGTAAAGGTAAGAGCTTTGTAAAATTTTAACGTGGGTCACTTGACAAACAGGTGACGTTAGACTAGCCACGGGCATTATAAAGTGGCACCACACACACCGAAGAAACAAAACATGACTTCTAAACTCAAATAAAGTTGATTAATAAATGAAATTAGGCTGTGAAATTAAAATAAACGCGTCTTACATTGTTATAGATGCCGTTGATCTCAAATGCAGAGAACAATTTTGTACCCACGCAACTTTAGGCTAACTTTAGCTTGCTAAGTTAGTCAGCTAGTTCCTTCCGCTTTTGCTGTCATCTAACTATCGCCAGTGCTAAACAAAAATGCCGATGGTTTTAATAGGAGGAAATATTTTACCTGGGTAGTCACCTAGTCCTCCTGGTTTAAACGTGACCTCGCAACTCCTCCTTGTGTGCGGAATGTAAACTTGAAGGAGGCGACACTTGTGGATGGATTCCTTCAGTCAGTCACTCGGCTGCCGCTGTTTCCGAAGTGTGTCAATGAGGCCTTCAGGGACAGTGAGAAAACTGAGCAGTCAGTCAGACGAGCTGTGTATTTGAAGGAGGTCGTTCTATGGCCCATGACTCATACGTGTTAGATGTGGGGTTTTCTTGCTAAGGGCCATGAAAAAAAAACACACCCACTAAATTTGAAAGTGAAATCATTTAGCCATTTGTGCTTTCTATTATTTTGTAACAAGTCAAAGGTATCACATCATGTTTTTTTTTATTGTAATTACATGCAAATCAGTCTGTGTTTTGTTTCAACAAATAGAATAATCATTTTACATACAATTCAAACTTGTTTAGGCATATTATTTCTATAAAAATGAATAGACCCGCCATGGCATTCCTAATGAAATAAAATAAAAAAAATATGTGTATACGTATAATTATATGCCTTTATAAATAGAAAGATATCTTCAAAATGGAGTCAAAATACTTCTATAGATTAAAAACATCTCTATCCTATTCGTACGTGTCCTATAAAGAAACTTCAGTGTAGTTTTAAGAGTTTGGGCCCGTTGTGCTTATACTTTCGGTTTCGCCCTGAACTCAGCATGAGCCTCTGCGCACGTCCTGTGTGCGGCTGTCATCTGACTCCAGAGAGAGGCGCTGCTCATTCTCCCCACATGAGTGCAGCATTTACCCTTCACCCGGACCCCTCCTCCCCCTCTCACCTACTCTCTCTTCTCTTCTCCCTCTCTCTCCTCTCTTCTCCCTCAAACCCTCTCCTCCTCTCTCCTCATTTCCCCTCCTCTCTCCTCTTCCCTCTCTGTGAACACTCCGCTGGATGTTTTTCTCTCTCCACCGCGATTCTGAGAGATGCTCTGAAATCCGAGCCTCCAGCGCTGAATGTGCTGTGTAATTCCCCAAGTTTTATGGTTTGAAACCACAAAAGCCTGCTCAAGGTGACTGCAAAGACACTAGGCAGGCAGGGTGCCAGGCAGACCGATCAAGTAGCACTGTCTAAAAGATGTTTCTGTCTGGGAGAACAACTAAATATTTTCTGCTGAAGTTAAAGAGGGTTTCCACAACAATGATAGCTACTTGGTGGTTTTGCAGAATGAATACGCAGCGCTGATCCGTGCCCATCTCTGCGCACATGTATCTTTAATAGAGTCTACATAGCCTGCATTATTCAGCATTAACACACGCTCCATCTGGACTGCTCTGAGTGTGCACGGCTCTGTGAGTGGATGTGTCAAAGCACCGCTCTGGTCCACACTTAGAACTTACACTGACGCTTCACCATTTCACCAGCTCAGGGCCGCAGGAGCAGAGGAGGGGGCCCTGGGCAGGTAGGCAACTCAGGGGGAACAGGACAGATCCTTTACTTTAAATATTTTATCAAATGTACATGCTGTATTATGTAGCATTAGTGCAGGTTAATCAACTGTTCAAACCTGTATTTCAGTTTAGCCAAATATTGCAAAAGCATGGTCAGTATATCAGCCTATATATCAGCCTGCTACGCATCACTGATACATTCTGACACATTTAAGGGCAATTTATCACATGAATTGGCAATTACTGGCCAAGATTTATTTGATATTTTACCTAATTTGAAGTCTTTCTAATTCAATTAAATGCTCAATCAGTCTGCAGTGTTGGTGCCCCCCTATAGTCTAAAATTCTCCCCCAAAGTCTAAAAAGAGCATGGGCTAAACATTGGCATAACAAAATCTCACTTTGGTCCTCCTTTTATTGGCATTCACACAAAAGAAACTGCAAGGATCATATAAATACTGTTTAAATATGAAATACAGACAGTAAGTGACATTTAAACTCCACAAACTGAATTAAAGAAAATTGTTAATCTAGAAAGTATTTGTGCCACCATAGTCTGACTGAAATCTATTGGAAACAGTGAATCTGTGTTATGCAGTTTTACATCAATCCCAGCTGGTTTGGGCATATTATTTTTATATTTACCACTGCGGTTTTGAATTGTATTACTATTTATTTTATTTTCTTGTACTTTGTAATTACAGTGTAGTTTCCCATGTGTATCAACAAAGTTTGCCTTAATTTAATCACACTTCTATCTTAACTGGAAAAGATTAACACTGAGAGATTGGAAAATGTTATAGTTTTTGAAAGACTGGCAGAGTTTAGGCTATGAAAATGAAATACGTAAAAAATGAAATATTGTCTCAATTTGAGCTGCTCTCTTTTATTTTATGAATGGTGAATTGCCTGTAGGCCATTAATTAAAGTCAGGGCCCCTCTGGCTCCTGTTCCCTTGATATCTGCTATTCTACGCCCCTGCATTTTACCATTTTACCATTTCATGCTCCGTCCACCGGTGCCTGAAGAGTCCAAAATGAGTAATTCCTCTATAATTACTTTTAATGTGTTCGAGACAAGGATAGAGGGAGGACGGAAAAAGGAAAAGGAAGTCAAAGAATAGAAATTAAATAGACGTATTATGAGCAGTGCAGATGTCAGGATCACACTCTTTCACCACTGCAGTTTCTTCATCAATAGACATGGGAGCATTGCCCTAATTCCATAATTCCTAAATCATAGTACTTAGCTCCACACGCGGAAACAAAGGAACAAGTGTGAGAGGAGAAAAGATGGGTCATATCCTCTAATAATGAGTCTATGGGAACATGGAGATGACAGGGGAGGAGAGGCAGACCATCTGTAAAGGCTGGCTCTGAACTCATGGTTTGAGTTCTGTGCAAAAGTCAACACCAAAAATGAATTCTAGTCAGTCCCAACCAAGAGAACAGGACAATCAGTGAGAAGAAGAAGAAGAAGAAGAAGGGCTAATGTGATCCAATGGGAAAAACAGTTTAGTTATGCATGAGGAGCACTGGAGAAGGATCTATATCATCACAATGCCAAAAACACATTTGTTTATGTGACTCTTATTACTGGTGGCTAAAAATATCTGTCTAGCTTTTATTTATTACAGGTGTTCTTAATGTCCAAGAATGCTTTGTAATACTTTTTCATTCTTACAATGAGCGGGGTCGCCTTTCCACAGATCTGACATCAACATAGCTTGGTAAACAGCCTCTTTGTACACTGCAAAAACTAAAATCTAGCCAAGTTAAAATTACTTGAATTAAGAAAGTTTTATCAAGCTTTGAGAAGATTTAACTTGACAACTAAAACAATCTACCAATGGAAAAGGAATTTTTGTACTTAAAATATGACAATACTTTTTTGCTACACTTAAGATAAGGAAAACTACAACTCTTTGGGTTAGGGTTAGCACTTAAAATAAAAAAAAAAACAAAATCTGATGCTGCTTGAATTAAGAAAAACACATTTGTTCCATTGGTAGATAGGTTTATTTGTCATGTTGAATCTACTCAAATAAAGTAAAATGTTTTTAACCCTCTGAGACCCAAGCATTCATTTCCTGGATGAAAAAAAATTTAACCTTGTTTAACATGTTTGTACTAAGCCTCTAATACAGAAAATAATTAGTTTTTTCTTTTTTTCTTTTTTTTGAGGAATCTGTGGAAATGTTGCAAAATTGCAACATTGGGCTTTAGTGGTAACAAATATTACAAACTTCACATTTAATAAAAGCCAACTTTGTATTAGTTATTGCTCACTCAATAAAATTAAAACATATTTTAAAATGAATAAATTTAATTGAAAAAAACAAAACAAAACAAAAAACATCTTTTTTTTATACAGAACAGCACTAAGTACACGGCATGGCCCCATAGTTGATGTGATGCCTTGTAACCTTTTCCAGTGCTTTGCTTTCATCCATCCACTTTGTGGACAACCTCAGTGTTAGGGATGAACAGAAGCAAGACAAAGTTTGGAAGATTAGGCCATGGTCTGGTGCTAGACCTAGCAGGGTTACCCTGCACACTACCTTGGTTCACATCGAAGTCACAGAGTATGCCGGAGATTCCTGTTCTTGCCCAGACCTTAAAGCCCCAGGAATGGGGTTTACCACGCATATATTGCCTGATTCCACTGAACCTTCCCTTGAAAGGAATCATCATTTCATCAATGGAGTTAGTTTTGGCCATCCTGGCTTGTCAAAGCCTGATCTCAGAAGCTAAGAATGGCCGGGCCTGATTAGTACTTGGATGGGAGACACTGTGAATTCCAGGTGCCACAGTGGGGCGCCAGTTGCAAAAACCCCATCGTTGTGTCCTTAGGCAAGACACTTCACCCACAAAGTGGTGTGTGCAGTGGAGGTCAGACGGGCAGGTGGCGCCGATTGGCAGCCTCCAGGGCAGCTGTGGCTACAGTAGTAGTTTACCACCGCTGAGTATGGAGTGAATGAATAATGAACTGTAAAACACTTTGGGGATCTTGAAAGGTGCTATATAAATGCAATGCAATGATTAATTAATTAATAAATAATAGTAAATAAATAAAAATGTATTAATTATGCTTTTCTAGCACTATCTTTAGAAACGTCTCCCTGAAGGACTTCAACCATAGCCAAATCTTCCAAAGTTGATCTTGTTTCTGTAACACTGTGGTTATCCACAATGTGGAAGGATGAAAGCAGCACTGGAAACAGTTCTCACTAACACTGTCCTCTGATTCTATTTCAAAATTATACAATTTTATATAGTACACAACTATAAACACACACACATTCTATTGGCTCAACACTCAGGGGTGAGGGATTCTCTGTGTAAAAAGGGCACCCTTTGTAACCCAGTGTTGCGTTTTTGCAACATTTACTTAAATCACTCTAACTCATATGTAGTATACTTTTTTAAAAATATATTTAACTTTTCTAACACTAAACATGTTAAGAATGAAAGAAAAAAAATATCACAGATTGTTTACTTACTTATACAATTGTTAAAATGTATCCAGAAAAGAGAGCTGGGTGGTCAGTAGAAGGCAGCCATGTCGTTTGACTTTGGAATGTCATATTCACTCCAATATTCATATTTTCCCTCCAAAAGTGTAATATAATGTAATACAGAGTGTTGGGTGCTGGTATATGCACTTTTTGTTACATTCAGTCAATGTGAGGCATTACTAGACAGCTCTAAGTAAATGTTGCAATTCTGCAACTGTGGGTCTCAGAGGTTTTATACAT